AATAATTTTTAAAATATGAGGAAATCAGGTTGCTGTCATGATTCCAGCTTTGTTTTCTATTCCTTTCTTTCTGTGGAACCAAAGGCTGTTTGTCTTATGTGTTACCCAGGCTTTCTGCAAGAGTAACTGGGACTTTAAGTTAAAATCTCTTCTTGTTTTTCCTTTAAGAAACTTCTTTTAAGGCCTGAAGGCTCAGAGTGTTTTCAAGAGTTTAAGAAGGTGGTGTCAGGTCTTGGAGATTGGTTTCTGAGCACTGGACAGACTTGCAAATGCATAAGCTCAGTTCCAGACAGGTACAGCTCTAGAAATATCAACCTCAGCCACAAGCAAAAAGGCAATGTTTATATGTGTTTGGTAGAAAAACTGTGACTTATTTTTCTACTCTTTCCATAAACAAAATGATTCTTTGTCAGCAGTGACATTTTTGAAGGCTGAGAATGGTTAAAGTTTTTGCTTCCACAACTACAGTGTTGAACCAGAATTGTTTTTATGATAATCGCTATCCATAGTGCTCACATAGGGATCTTTTTAAGGAAAGTTAAAAAGTGTCATTGAGACCATGAATAATTGTATTGTAGCATTGCTTACTTCAGTAGTTGTGTTCCCATAGAACTTGTATATCATAAGTTCTCCCCTCACTCTTCTTTTTCTTCATCAGCATGGAATTATTTTCCTTCTTTTAATATGTAATATAATCAGTCTTTTTGGTATTCATGTACTTACTATAAATGGAATTGAATTATATTTTAATCTGAAACTATAGACTAGCAGCAACCTAACATAAGCAGATATATGAAAGGTAAATACATTCCGATTCAGTGATCTTTAAAATAGTGTAGTACCAGAAATCAGGTGATTAATTTATAAGTAAATTTGATTCCTGAAAAATAATTGTGGGGCACAGGGAAAATTGTGATTTCTCACTGTTTCTCATTAACATCCTGTCTATTTTTGCTTTTTTACCTTTCAGTCATTTTTCTTTTTTTTCGAAACAGAGTTTCACTCTTGTCGTCTAGGTGCGATGGCACCATCTCGGCTCACTGCAGCCTCTGCCTCCCGAGTTCAAGCGATTCTCCCACCTCAGCCTCCTGAGTAGCTGGGATTACAGGCATGTGCCGCCATGCCCGGCTAATTTTTTGTATTTTTAGTAGAGACGGGGTTTTGCCATGTTGGGCAGGCTGGTCTCGAGCTCCTGACCTCAGGTGATCCGCCCGCCTTGGCGTCCCAAAGTGTTGGGATTATAGGCGTGAGCCACCATGCCTGGCATTTTTCTTTACTGTATAGAGTATCCTTCATTATTTTGGTTTGTCTGTCCTTCACAGACCAACTGTACTTCAAGTTTGATTTAAGTCTCATTTCTCTCACAAAGCCTTCTCTGGCTATTTGATACAACACATTTGTATTAGTCCGTTCTGGCAATGCTATAAGAAAATACTGGAGACTGGGTAACTTATAAAGAAGAAAGGTTTAATTGGTTCACATTTCTGCAGGCTGTACAGGGAGCATGGCAACATCTACTTCTGGGGAGGCTTCAGGGAGCTTTTACTCATGGCGGAAGGCAAAGCAGGAGCAGGCATCTTCACATTGCCAGAGCAAGAGGAAGAGAGAGAGAGGGGAGGTGGCACACACTTTTAAACACCCAGATCTCATGAGAACTGTATCACAAGAACAGCACCAGAGGAGGAAATTGTCACACATGATTCAGTCATCTCCTACCAGACTCCACCGCCAACACTTGGGATTATAATTTAACATGAGATTTGGGTGGGGATACAAATCCAAACCGTATTGTTTCACCTGTGGCCCCTCCCAAATCTCATATTCTTCTCACCTTGCAAAATGCAGTCATCCCTTCTCAACAGTCCTCCAAAGTCTTAACTCATTCTGGCATTAGCTCAAAAGTCCAAAGTCTCATCTGGGACAAGGCTGGCCCCTTTCACCTGTGAGCCTGTAAAATCAAAAGCAGGTTACTTACTCCCAAGATACAATGGGGGTATAGGCATTGAGTAAATACTCCCATTCCAAAAGGGAGAAAATGGCCAAAAGAATGGGGCTATAGGCCTTGTGCAAGTTCGAAACCCAGCAGGGCAGTCATTAAATCTTAATGTTCCAAATCTGCTTTGACTCCATGTCTCATATCCAGGGTACAATGATGCAAGGGTTGGGCTTCCAAGGCCTTGGGCAGCTACACCCCTGTGGCTTGGAAGGGTTCAGCTTCCATGGCTGCTCTCAAGGACTGGTGTTGAGTGCCTGCAGCTTGTCTAGGTGCAAGGTATTTAGCGGATCTATCATTCCAGGGTCTGGATGATGGTGGCCCTCTTCTCACAGCTCCACCAAGCGGTGCCCCAAACGGAGACTCTGTGTGTAGGGGGAGCCAACCTCACATTTCTTCTCTGCACTGTCCTAGTAGAGGTCCTCCGTGAGGGCTCTGCCCCTGCAGCAGGCTTCTGCCTGGACATCCAGGCTTTTCCATATAGCATCTGAAATCTATGCGGAGGCACCATGCCTCAACTCTTGCATTCTGTGCACCTGCAGGCTTAACACCACATGGAAGCAGCGGCCCAAACGGTACCCAGGTTCCTTTGAGCCACGGCTGGAGTTAGAGCAGCCAGGATGCAGAAGCAGTGTCCTGAGGCTGCACAGGGTGGTCAGGGTGGTGAGGCCCTGTTGTTCACCCACCTCATAGGCCTCTGGGCCTGTGATGGCAGGGGCTGCCATGAAGGTCTCTGAAATGCCTTTGAGGCCTTTTCTTCATTGTTTAGCTATCAACACTTGACTGCTCTTTACTTATGCAAATTTCTACAGCCTGCTTGAATTTCTCCCCTGAAAATGGGCTTTTCTTTTCTACCACATAACTGGGCTACGAATTTTTCAAACTTTTACACTCTGCCTCCCTTTTAAATATAATTCGTTGGCCGGGCTTGGTGGCTTATGCCTGTAATCCCAGCACTTTGGGAGGCCAAGGCAGGTGGATGACCTGAGGTTGGGAGTTTGAGACCAGCCTGACTAACATGAAAAACCCCATTTCTACTAAAAATACAAAACTAGCGAGGTGTTGTGGTGCATGCCTGTAATCCCAGCTACTCAGGAGGCTGAGGCAGGAGAATGGCTTGAACCCAGGAGGCAGACAACAATGAAACTCCGTCTCAAAAAGTAAAAATTAAATTAAAAAAATATATATATGTGTTTGTTTCAGGTCATTTCTTTGCTCACACGTATGAGCATAGGATACTAGAAGCAGCCAGGCAACATCTTGAATGCTTTGTTCCTTAGACATTTTTCCCTCTAAATCCTAAGTCATCATTCTCAACTTCAAAGTCCCACAGATCTCTAGGCAGGGGCACAATGCCACCAGGTTCTTTGCTAACACATAACAAAAGTGATCTTTGCTCCAGTTCCCAATAAGTTCCTTATTTCCATCTGAGATCTCCTCAGCCTGGACTTCATTGTCCATATCACTGTCAGCATTTTGTTGACAACAGTTTGATAAGTCTCTAGGAAGTTCCTAATTTTCCCTCATCTTCTTGTCTTCTGAGCTCTCCACACCCTTCCAGCCTCTGCCCATTACCCAGTTCCAGAGACGCTTCCACATTTTCAGATATCTTTATAGCAATGCCCTACTTTTCAGTAGCAATTCTGTTAGTTTTCGCACTGCTATAAAAAATACCCGAGACTGGACAATTTGTAAAGAAAAAGGGTTTAATTGGCTCACTGTTCCATAGGCTTTATAGGAAGCATGGCAACATCTGCTTCTGAGGAGGCCCAGAGAGCTTTTACTCGTGGCAGAAGGCAAAGTGGGAGCAGGCCAGAGCAGGAGGAAGAGAGAGAGAGGAAAGGTAGCACACACTTTTAAACAACCAGATCTCATGAGAACCCTCCCACAAGAACAGCATCAAAGAGGGAAATCAGCCCCCATGATGCAGTCACCTCCCATCAGGCCTTACCCCCAACACTGGGAATTACAATTTGACATGAGATTTGAGCAGGGCCACAAATTCAAACCATATCAACATTGTTTTTCTTTTCTGAAATTCTTGTTGCTTTTCTCTTTAACACAATTTAAATTGTCTTCTATATATTATTATCTGTATATTCGCTTTATTATTTTATTTTATTATTATTTTTTGAGGTGGAGTTTTTCTCTTGTCACCCAGGCTGGAGTGCAGTGGAACGATCTCAGCTCACTGCAACCTCTGCCTCCTGGGTTCAAGTGATTCTCCTGCCTCAGCCTCCTGAGTAGCTGG